AATTATGTATAATTCCACCAATCAAGTATGCTTATGTTCATTATTGTCTTTGTACATCATACATTCAAACAAAGATGTTATTCCTTCATTTTTCAATACGGTATTCTAAATAGTCACTTCATATATAGCATCCTGTAAATACTTTTAACTCCTCCCTCTTCCACCTTCTCTTGTTCATAGAGCTTAGCATAGTAATCTTGTATATATATTTTTTCTCAGTGTTTCCATACTGAATTTGTCCTTGTTCATCTCTTAATTGGAATATTTTCTTTGCTTCTCTCTCTTTTTTCAGTTTATATGCCAGCCATCTACCTGGTTTGTTTGCATTTTCAAAGTAATTCTGTTTAGCACCTCTAATTTTTTGTGCCAGTTCTTCCTTTTCCAGTAGATCCATTTTATATTTAATTATATCCATTTTTATTTTAACATCTTTTTTTGTGGCGATCTCTGTAACTCTCTTTCGAGTATTTTGTACTCATTATCTAAAGCTTTATGCATTTGTCTTTTCTTTAAGTTTCTCTTCCTTGTATAGTCTATTATCAGACCTCTAGTGACAGCCTTCTTTGTATCCCAAAGATTCTGCATTGATGTATTTTCTTTCCTATTTTCTTTAAAGGAAAAGGCTAACTCTTTTTCCATTTTTTGTACAAAGTCTTTTTCTTTCAATATAGTATTATTTAATGTCCATCTAGATCTTGTCCTTTGGCCTTTCCATTTAATTGTAATTGGATTGTGGTCCGCCCAAGTGCTTGCTCCGATCACAATTTCTTGTGCGTTGCAAATCAATTCTGCTGAAGCCCATATCATATCAATTCTGGAGAATAATTAATATCTATTTGAATAAAAAGTAGATTGTTCTTTTTTAGCATTCCTTTCTTTCCATATATCTTTTAAATTTATTTCATCTATCATCCTGAAGAAAGATTTCGGAAGCATTTTTCTATTTAGCTTTGTTTTGTGTTTTTTGTAATCCTTGTTCTAGTTCACAATGCTATTGAAATCTCCCATCATACAAACATCAACATGGTCTAAGTCCAAGATTCTTTTATGCAATTTTTTATAAAATTCATCTTGTTTTTCATTAGGGGCATAGATTCCAATTAGGAGTGTTTTTTTGATATCCATAATTTCCACCATCAAAATTCTTGCCTCTTCATCTGCATAGATTAATTTTGCTGGAATATTATCTTTAATATAGAAGATCACTCCTATTTTCTTGCAATTCGCCAGTATTGAAAACATTTTCCCAAGCTTTGGTTGAGTTAGTAGGTGTTCATGTCTCTTTTGAATATGTACTTCTTATAGGCAGATTATGTCAAGTTTTAACTTTGCTAATTTATGAAATGTTTTCTTTCTTTTAATTGCTGAGTTAAGTCCATTAATATTGATTGTAATCATTTTTCTTTCCTACATATTTATACTTTATATACAGGGTTTATAGCTCTAGTAGATCTGGGTTCTCGTTGTTCTCTGTAGCTGTTTAAAAAAGTTAAGTTGTTATACTTGTAGTTGAAACTTAAAAAGGATTAAAGAAAACTCATCAGGTGCAATCAGACATGATCCAAAGGTTTATAATAGCTGAAAAGCAGTTAAGCAGCAATTTCCAAAAGTAATTAGAAAGGGAAGTATACATACTTAATGTCTGTTCAAAGGTCCAAAGGCAAACTACTATTTTTTATTTATTTATGTGGTATGGTTTTTCATTTAAGAGGTTTTTTTCTTATTTCTGAGGCTGTGGTAGTTAAAGGGTTGGAACCAGTGTTTGAGTTCCACTTTTTTAAATAGCTCTGTTGGTCACAGAGTTCTGAAGCAAATTCAAATTCAAATCATATAAGGTTGCCTTCAATGGTTGGCTTATGACAGACAAATGGGGTGGGGGATAGTGAAATCTCTCCTATGTGAATATGTCCTGAATCTTATCACAACTTTGCATCAGTCAACTTATTTATATCAATAGTTCCTCCCTATTTTCCTGTTATTAAAGGCTATATTTTCTTAATTACAAATTTATATCTCAGAACCTCTGATTTGTCTCTATTGATTTCTTACATATTTTATTTAAGTTCTTTTTCAGACTAAATGCTCAGTGATTTTACATTTGGTTTCAATGTTTGACATGTTAACAGTAGTATTAAATGAGTTTCTTCTATTTAAGAAAATCTAAACAAAAAACTGCCAAGGGCCTGTCCTATAGTAGAAACAGTACTTTTCAATTGTATTTCCCAAAGAATTCATGTTTCAGAAGGATTTATTCAAAGAACAGGTAAAATACAAAAAAGTTTAAAAAGGAAATATGCTTTAACTTATTTTTTTGCTTGTTTTAGATACCCTTTTACAAATCAGGAACATTTCAAGCTTATATAGATAAACATGGAGCTATGGTAAGTGATGAACATTATTTATTCTGGTTGTTTTTCTGCATACAAGATGCATGTATCAGGGTGGGTTCCGGCAGGTACTTCTGCCAGTTTGCTCATGGGCGTGCTTGATGTGCACTGCATGTGCATGCTCAGTGCAATAAAAATTGTTATGCACATGCGCAGAAGTGAAAAACAAGATGGTGGCACCTATGGCGCCCCCTGGAGAACCAGTTCGGGGACTTGGCAGGCCTGGGTCACTGCCGGTTCCAGCGACCCAGGCTGCCAAACTACTACCAGTTCGGCCAAACCGGTCCAAAGCAGTTGGAACCCACCACTGGGGTGTATATTGCTACAGGTTGGAAAATTACATTTTATTTACTAAAATTTGAAAAAAATGGAATGCTTGTTTATTGTAGTTGAGTTTTAGATATTTAAATTTCATTTTTATGACATTATGATATGGACATTTAATTCAGTACAATTCATACACTCTACTGATGATATATTATTTATAAAATATTCTTCCACAAACTTGGCAATCTTTTCTGTATGAACTTCATCTGCCAGATTTCTTAGCAATTGACATGCTAACTGGACAATTGTAGGAATGAAATCTAAATATTTGGAAGCTGACCAAATTATGGAAAGTAGATATAAGTGGTGGCAGATCTGATGTGCAGGAATTCCAAGTTAATCTCTTAATCTACCTTAGAAATAATGTAATTATGTCACTGTTTGACCAAAAGTGTTATGTCTTTGAGAGGAGGAATAACAATTAAAAAGGTGTGGGGAGCTTCTGGAAAACAATACTATTCTCATCCTTAAAATCATTACCTAAGCTTTTAAAGATGGCCTGAAACTGTGTTCCTGAAAATTGGCCATTGCAGGTATGTTGGTAGGGAGGGTTGGAAATTGAGTGATCGAGATATTATATGGTCCATGGCCATGAATTATCCAATCCTGAACTATAGGATCAAATGAAATCTAAATATTTGGATTTTTAAACTTTTTAAACTATGCTAATAAGTTGTAATGACAAAGTAGCAAAAATATTATTGAGTCTTTATAACTGAATCAAACCTTGCAGAGAACTATGCAGTCAGGTTGATTGGTGAACAAGAGTATCCACGATAAACTAAAAATATATATCTTAGGCCATACACGCTATAGATGTTGACCAAGATTGTTTTACTGTAAATTTGGTGACATACATAAATGCAGTGGTAATTTTATGCTTCATGAATAAAAATATATGTCAATGAGCAGGATGTGAAAGCCTAATGGATCAATCAGAAAATAATAATATGCATGTTTTTCTTCCAATTGTGGTAGAAAATGTGTATATCATTTTTTTAAAGAAGGAATTATAAGAAAGTAAGATGGGGAATACACTTTGAAAAGAGTGCATTTGGGGCTGGGAGCCATGAGTGAACTGTACAAATAGCTCACTGTATTTCCTATTGTGTGCATGCTTACTCTCTTGTAATCCCTTTTTCTCCAATACAACTTGAGAGCTATTTATGACTCAGATTCAAAGTTCCGATGGTTGCCACCCCCCACAGTCACATGGCTGCACATGGGCAGTGGGCTATGTTTATGATCATTTGCAGCATCTTGCGGTCACATAACCATGTTTTATTACAGTTTTGCCCAAAACCAGCAGTTACTTCCTGTTTTAGGCAAAACCAGCTCCATATCAAACCATTGGTTAGTTTTATGACCACGGCAGTCACTCAGCAGCTACCACAAAAAAGGTTGTAAAATATGGCCATGTTGACTTACAGCCATAATGGGCAGGTTCCATTATGGTCATAACTCGAGGATTACCTGTAAGTAAGTGGCACAGTGGTTAGAGTGCAGTACTGCAGCCACTTCAGCTGACTGCTAGCTGCAGTTTGGCGGTTCAAATCTCACCGGCTCAAGGTTGACTCAGCCTTCCATCCTTCCGAGGTGGATAAAATGAGGACCCAGACTGTGGGGGCAATATGCTGACTCTGTAAACTGCTTAGGGCTGAAAGCCCTATGAAGCGGTATATAAGTCTAACTGCTATTGCTATTGCTATTAAGATGGTAGAGAGCATCCTGAAAGTCTAAAGGAAGTGGGGGACAATTTCATCAATTTGCTTTCTGGAAAGTGGTATTTTGTGTTCATCTATGGCTCCCAAATCATGGTCACCATATGAGACTGCTATATGTTTTAGATTTTATACTTTTTAATGTTCTGTTTATGTTCATTCCTCCAGTCATGGAATCTGCATAGGAGTAACCTGACATAAATTGTATTACCCTGATTGTTGAGCTCTATTCTCCATTAATAGCAAGGCTGGGAAATGGTGCCATCCTTGTCAGTTGTAATGCAGCTCAAGCCATGAAAAACATTTAATGGATTCTCTTGGCTTTATTTTGCCTCCCACTGAGTCTTAACTGCTTACCAGAAAAACAAGTATGTGATGGGACAAGCTAGGCAAGTGTAGGCAAGTGTCTGGAATGTGAGTTTTAGCTGTCTTTCAAGCTCTGCAAGTGACAAGTTGCAGATACTGAAATGTTCTGCACCTATGATTGGTTAATCAGGCTACTTTTTTAAAAGATGGGTTTGGCACATGCAACGACTAGTGACAGGACGCAGATAACACGGAGAGCTTGTGAAGATCATCTAGCATGTTGCAATACCTGTCCTCCATGTCTGTAACCTCTCAATCAAGCTATTTCTGAATGAAGGTTTATGCTCTTTTGGAAAAATGCTAGCTCAATGTCCAAATTAAGCTGAATGGTGCCATGCCCTCTTATGACAGTGCCTGTAATCTCTGAGGATATTTGTTAGTATCCCAATTATTTGCACTAAGAGGAATATCCTTTGCCTCCTGATAAATGCTTGGTTCAGTGACTATTAATCTGTCTCAGTGTGTGTTTCAATATATGTGTACATGTATAGGTTTTGTGTTATGTATCTATAAATGTTTGGTTTTTTTTTTTAAACGTAAGTGCCCTAGCTCCTTTTTACCATCCACTTTGGGTATATCTGCCTTGCCTCTATCTACCAGAAATTAAGATTAAGATGATAATCAGCTAAAATGTAACAAAGGTTCTTTTACTGGGCATATAACTCAAAGTAATTGTTTTAAATGTAAGGTATATATTTAAATCTGAATTCAGATTTGCATGAAAGGTTAGATAGTTTGATAATAATCTTTTGGCTGTCATGCCTGCAACTGCAATTTATTTCTCTGCAAAATATACTGAGGCACTGGAGTGAATTCATATTATTTATAAAACATTTTTCTTTGGATTGCATTCACCATATCATTAGCAAATTAGCTGCATTATGTTGGACCTAAATAAACAATCTGTACAGTAACTGATTTGCAAATGCCTTTTTCAGAAATATTCTATATATTAAAATCAGTGAAGCAGGTTATAAGACTAGAACAATCTCTGCCTGAAGGTCAGTCTAAATGCATTTTTGCTTAGTATATAATTACTATGACAGGAGAATAATATTGATTGAGACCAGTAGAGTGGAAGAGAGGATTTAACCTTTGCTCCCAATACAGCCCTAACTTTAAGTCTATTCCTATCTTGTTAATCATGAATGCAAATTACAGTCTCAATGGAACAACCAGCACGCTATCAGACTAAACTATCCTGTAAGGGTTATTTACTGAACAAAAAGCAGTAACATGGTTATTATGTTTGACTCTTAACCATTGGAGAATACATTCTCCTCTGCTAGTTGGATTACATTTGATTAAATGTAAGGTATTCCATAATAATAATATTCAATTTCATAAGGAGGAAATTTTTGCAAAGAGAAAATACAATACAACTTGTTTTATTTATTAGGTAGGAATGCCAGAAAGAGTTACCCCAACTATCTTTCAAGTCTGCCTTTCTTATACACTTAGAGCCAAACTTGCCCCTAACTGGAACCAAGCTGGTCACTTGTTGATACAAGGTAATTATTTGGAACTTATGATAGTGAAAATGTTTTTATAGTGTTAAATATTTTCTGCATGATGCATATATTTATTATTAGCTATAGTTGTTACAATATTGTTCAGTAAATCTGACTACTGGTAGTCCTCAACTCACAATGGTAATTGATCCTGCAATTATGATCGTAAGTCATGATGGTCATTAGGGTGGTTTATCAAGTGACTATGCCAATTTTATGTCTTTTAGAGTGTCAACCGTTAAGTGAACACCATAGTTATTAAATGAATGTATTGTTCCCTGTGCATGTTATTTTTGTCAGAAATGATAAGTAAACACCAGCAAAAGCATCATAAATCATGATCTAATGTCCATAGGACACTGCTAATGGCTATAAATGTGGGTTGCTCGGTGATCACCCAAAATATGGTCACATGACCATAGGCCTGTATAATTTTAAGATCAGCCACTTCTACCTCCAATTCTTTATAACATCTGAAAAGTCCTCAAAACTGGAATATTTTATTTGTATGTGAGTAATACATAATATTGCTTTATTTGTACGCAGTTATGGTCAACTCAAATATGTTTGGATACTATTAAAATCTACACTTTCCTCTTGAAATTGCCACCTAAATCTCTAATTAGGTTAGCTGACTCAATATTGCTGAATTAGGTTATGACATGTATTTGAGGATGGTACCTTTAGAGCTTATAAAAAGCAAGTTCGGGAGCAGTGATGTAGTTGTTGTTTTGCCAGGAACCATCAGGTAATTGGGACCACTATCTTAGTTCCTACATCTTCCCTAGGATTTTTTATGGCCATTCATGAGAAGCTTCCACTTCCTCCAGTAGATTGGAGGCCGAGTCAGTAGAGTGGAAGAGAGGATTTAAGTCAAGAAGAGGTCCTTGGCATACAACTTGGATCAGAATGCAGGAAGACCAGACCATGTCATCTTAGTTAATGGACTTTGACTCCAAGCTTTAGTTGGAGGAGAGGCTGGAGGCCAAAGGTGGGGGATCTTTAAGCCTCTTTAAGAACTGATGGGACCATTCCCTCTCCCAAGGAGGAGTTAACTACTACCCAGAGCCAATCATGCTTCTCTCCCTGTGGCCATTTATCAAATAATACATAATAGTAATACATAATACATACATCTTTTATACATAAGGAACGTGTTGTGAAGCAAACACTACAGAAACAATGTATAACAAAATATAAACATATTTTCCTCATTATACATTGCTTTGGTATAGTTTTAACTGTGAATTATAATAAACCACTTTCATATTTTTAAGGGAGAAATTTTTTATCACAGATGGGAAAGCAAAATGCAGTTGGTAAGTACACTATGAATAAATATTTTTCTCACTCTTAAAGACCTGGAATTACCTTAGATATATTTTACACATACCCTGGGTTGGAAAAAAAAGGAATGAAGAAAATCAATGGTATATCAGATGTAATGCACAGAGATTATCAGTTGAGCAACTGTTAGGCATATAAATTTATTTATCAAAACGTTTTATGATTGAAATCAAGACTGAAAATCATCATGCAAGCAAATAATGCAGGCCTATACCACTGCTTTGTTTACCTGTTGGTCCTGTTCCTGTTAAGCAATATTTAAAGATGTAAGCAACCACAAGCAATTATTAAAATTATTAAATTAAAATGATTAAAATTATTAAAAAGTAAAAATTGTGATTTTGCTTAAACTATATGGACACATCAATCATTAAGTCACTTGGTCAGTCCTGTTTTAGAATTCAGTATAATTTTTGTCTTATGCACTTATGGGGAAAATATATGATTGCATAAGGTACATAAGGGATATATGAAAATGCTGTATACTGGACATTATGAATTTTATTTCAGTTGTGGATATTAGTGTATCCGAAACTCAACTTTGCATCAGTGTGGAAATATGCAGGATATGTTCATCACCACCTGAGGTACAGAAATAATATAACTTTTTACATTTGCATTTTATGGATGCTTGTGTATCTAGGGCTTCTTAAAATTCTTTTTCAGAATAAAACAATCAACAATTGTTAAGCAGTTCATCTCACTTTTTAATTTCTGTCTCTCCTCTTTTCTCCAAACTATATGTATTCTTGTGGTTTAAAGAATATGTAGGTAGGTAGGTAGGTATATACATTTTTCTTTAATAATTACATTATTAGGTGAATATTTGCCAAGAAAACAAGTATTTTTAATATATCTTTACATCTCTTAGATGCATACAAAAATTATCAGGCATAATTTTCATCTTACTGAAGAATTGTACTGGTGATTTCTGATATATCACTGAAATTTTAAATAAAGGTATCCAGGAATTGAGAGAGCTAATTAGGTGTAAAGTTTAAGGCATCAGTCCAGAAATCAGGAGAGTGTGAGTTCTAGTCTTACTTTAAGCCCAAAGCCAGCTGGATGACCTTGGGCCAGTAACTCATTCTCAGTCATTGTAAACAGGCATGGCAAACCACTTCTGAAATCTTGCCACAAAAACTGCTAATCCAGGCATATTCCAAGAGTCAACACTGACTTGAAGGGACCAAAAAAGAAAAGAAAAGAAAAAACCAACAACACAATCTATAGGTATATTTCTGACGATGACCACAATCAGGGTTTACTGGTTATTTTTAACTTATTAGAAAGAAAATGGGTAGTTTAATTTAAAAACATACCTTTTTCTTTTAATGCTATAATTTATTTTGATATGTGTATTATTGCAGTAAATTGTAAATCACAGATCCATACTGAGAATAATTTCAAAGTCTGAAAGGATTTAAATGACTGCTTTGTATTAAACAGGCATCCCTTAATTTTATAGCATGATTTTATGAAGGGATTTAGTAATTTCAGTTACAAATGTAATAACTAAAGCTTTTAATGAAAGTTTTTGTGCAATATTATTTTAACATACATTACATTTTATACTTTTATACTTAACCTTTCAAAAATTGCTGTATTCATTTTTTTCTATTTTAGCTTGAAGATTTTGATATTTCAACAAACATCATAAAGAACTTTAACAACGATACTACTGCAGTCATTTCAGAAGGTTCTATTTTAAGTAATTGGTGTTATGTTTTACCAAGGTGTGTTTTTCATATTTTACAAGGAATTGTATTAAGAGGAACTAAACTTTTCCTACAATATAATTTTATTACAGTAAAGGTATTAGTGATAGGAGCCACTAAGAAAAGTTTTTCATTCTCAGAATTTCATGAATATTTAGACTATTTTTAATACATTTTTTTTAAAAAAAAACTACTTTGAGAAGTAACATAACAAAGCAAATATCTTATTTAAATTTGAACAGGCTTTTTGAAAACTCAGTATAATCTTTAGTTCTTTACACTTAATTCTAAATGACAAGTTGACACCTGTGAGCGAGGCTACCATACAGAAAAATTCCAGTTGTATGATTTATTTTTTTGGATTTTAAAAATGCCAGAACATCATTCAAGCAACATATTTGGGAATTACAAAAGGGTTCCAGTAAACTGTATGCAGCTTTGGTTTTTAACAGCCTTGCCTCTACCAACTTCATTTCCAATGTGATATTACAATAGGACTTTTTCATTAGTTCTATGTGTAATACTAATGAGGGGCAGATGTTGGTATATCACTTGAGCCACGTTTCTGCTTTATTGGATTGGTGAAATGGAAATAGTCACTTTGTTATTTTATGGTATGTCTTTATAGACATATTTGAATAACAGGTCATTCCTCTTTTATGGAATTTTCCACGCAAGCAATCTCAATCCCCTATCTTATAACTCTTAATCAGACAGAACATTTGCAGTAATCTAGTAAATTATGATGCCCAACTGTTTTTAGAATTTGGTGTCCCTTTTAATGTTTACTTTAGGCTTTTGGATTGTTTAAATCCAGATGTGTCTACTCTTTTCAGATGCTAAATGCTGATTTATAAAAAATAAACTATGTATGTATGTATGTATGTATGTATGTATATAATTTTATCTTTACAAGTTTCTATTTCTATATATTTTATTCTGTGTCTACTTTTCCTCCTTATGTCTACCAGTATATTGCATTAAATAAGATATAGAATGTGACAAACTCAATTTCTTAGCTTATTTTAGGGTAATAGAAGCCCACATTTTTTAACCTAGTTTAAAATATCTGTTACATAATTATGGTTTCTACTGATTAATACTAATTTTCCAATGATCTTTTTGTATCTCTGCCAGTATGAAAATGGGTCAGATAATGAGTATCAGTCACTTAATTCCACCTGATTCTCCATTTCATTCATACAGTGATTTACAGTTACACTGGGAAAATCTGGTAAGGGTATACTTATGGTTTTTTTTTTATCATTCATTGATAAATAATAAATCAATTGACAAAATTATTGCTATGTATTATCTTTTGTATATATTTTATCTTTAGTATGGCTACCATCTGCCAGAGGATTCCCAGACGTACTTCAGCATTTATTTTAAACTAATAGGAGAGCAATTCTTTATATATCCTTTATATGTTGTATTTGTTTGTGGGGCCTTCTTAGGAACATGAGCCATGATGAGCCAAGATTATAGTATTAAAATATGCTATTAAAATACTCTCTTACTGAATATTTGCTGTAAAGTTAAATAAATATTTGTTTCTTACCACATGAAAAATAAACATTTGTAGTCATAGTCATTTCTCATTTATGAGATAAATGTAAAATAAATCAATGCATTTCCAATATAAACTGAGTTTCTTAAAGCAGAATTCTGTGCTATAATTGTAAATTCTCTGCATTTTGTGTTTCGTATATAGAAACCCATCTGCAGCCATTTTTCTTCAGAAGTTAGTGAAGTATAAATACCATCCATTTATTTATTTCTTCCAACTTTCTGCATCATGGTCAGTTTTAAATTCACTAGAAAGTTCTGCAAAACGCTTCAAAGTTTGTTTAGAGCAGGGCTATCAAGCTCGCAGACCACAGACTGGATGCGTCACACACTGGCCACAGCCATGCCCGGTTTAGCAAAGGGGGGAAAAGTCCCGATACATCATGTGATAATGCCGTGATGATGTGAGTTTGACACCCCTGATTTAGAATATACAAGTCTGAAGGCAAACAATTAACTTTGGCTTAACTCTGATAAGACTGTATGGCTGTAGGTTTCATACCAAAGGTGGGTTCCTACAGGTTCGGACCGGTTTGGCTGAATACGTAGTAACTCGGAGGGACACATGACCATACCAGTTCTATTCTGGGAACCACCATCTTTATTTTCTGTTCTGCGCATGCGCAGAACATTCTTCATTGAAAGAATGTAATTTTCCCCTTTTTTAATGATGTGCACATGCCAGTCCCAGAGAGGTCCCAGAAATGGGCCATTTTTTGCAAAATGCGGGTGTTTTTGCCTTCTCCCAGCTTCCAGAATCATTCTGCAGGCTTCAGCAGGGCTGGGGGAAGGCAAAATACCCCTGTTTGTGCAAAAAAGTGGCCCGTTTTCCGTCCATTTTTTGCAAAAACGGGGGTGTTTTTGCTTTCCTCCAGCTCTATTGAAGCCTGCAGAGGACAAAAACTTTTTTTTCTTACTGGTTAGTTTGCAGGCACTCCCTTAGCTCTGGCAAGGCTGGTGGGGCCCCCTTCAAAACTTTGCACCATCGTTTCGGTGGGCATAGCTTGGTGAGGGGGTCATGTGACTGAGTGGGCATGAGTGACATCAAGTTGGTCACGCCCATTCAGTCACATACCCCCCATCTAGCCACATCCACTAAACCGGTAGTGAAAAAAATTGAAACCCACCCCTATTTCATACCCTACCTCACCTGTATCTAATGATTTGCCATTATTATGGGCAGTTGCACAGTTAGCCAGAAGTTTAGATTACATTTGGCATTTCTGTCCACCTAGCAAGTCCTTCCTAAAAACCTAGGTTAGAGATATGTTGTTTAATTATACTAAAGGTATCATTGCAGGATGTAAGCTATTTCAAATAAAGCTGTCTTTGGCAATTGATTGATGGTGACTTTATCATCGTTGATGATATTCAATTGGTGCTTCAGATGTTTTAGGATCTTTCCCAAGGCACCTATTACTATTGATGCCATATTTGCTTCCTTGTGCCACAGTCATTCTACTTCTGTTTACTGGTTTCACTGCATCTTCTTTACCATCAGGTAATGTGCAGAAAGTACTTGTAGCAGATTTTACTCGCTGTCATGACTTTAATGAATCCCTATTGTTCAAGAAATTGTGTCTGATGCTTTTTAATATCAATTTGTCAAATTATTTATTTCATTCCTTAATACTGATTCAGATATCCTTCCAGTTGCATCAGAAGTCAGCCCATACAGTACTTTCCTAGAGCAGATTTAGAAGCTATTTTAAATTCTTTTGTTACTGATCTGAATGCTGTCATTCCTCATATATGTGGATTTCCTTTTAAGATGACACAGAAAGCAATGTGTACTACAAACAATTTTATAATGGCATCTGTACAGGTAATATTGTGTATAACGTTTATTGGCATATACTTGATTAAACATTGAAATAGCCAATTATCTTCACTTTTCTCAATATATCTTTTCTAATGCTTTATTAATTTAGAAGGCAGCTAAAGTGTGATAGTAAACATGTAGAGCAGACACAGTGATGTAACTGGTATATCTATAAATAGCTAAAATGATTCCTTAAGGACTAGCTAAATGCAAATTCTGATTACTATGCCACTTATTTTTCTATAGAAACCTCCAGAATAAATAAAAAAATGACTTCCTTGTAGAATTATGCACTAATTACTTCCAGATGGAGTTTTGTACCAATATTATTATTTGATAGCAATCAGGCACAAGTCTAATCTAAATGAATAATAGAAATAAGGGAGAAAGAGCTGACAAAACTGTTTATTGGTATTTTGAGATGTTCCATAATAAGGCTAGATACTCAGTAATTTCTAAAAACTGCAGTTGAATTGTATCTTAAATCAGTTGGGTTTTCTTGTACCTATTAGCTGTTGATCACATTATACTTTAGCATTGCCTGTTCTCTACAGATGTGGCTCTGAGGTTTTACATAAGGGCTTTGTCTAAAGGTTTGTGCTTATACTTTATTTTCCATCCATTTTTAAAATCTCTATTGTATAAATATGAAATATAGTAAACCAAGATGGCTCTTGCTATTGATTTAGTTATTTAGAATGCATACATTGCCTAATATTTTTTTCAGTGATGGTCAAACATTAAAAAATAAAATAATATTCTCACCATGTTACAGTAATGGAAAAGAAATAAAAAAGAAAGTTGGATGCATGAAAATAAGCATTTAAGAATCTGTACTGTCTTTGGCTAGTAATTGAAGGCAGGTTATGCCTCTCTTCATTTTTTTAATTCAAAAGCAATGAGTACTGTTTCTGGCACAAAAGTAAAAACAAGCTCCCTACACCTGACAATTCCTGGATGAGAGGTGGAATTTGATTACATCATTTTACATGACAATCTTCCAGGGAGGAAGGGAATATAACTAGCTTCCCATCTGGCCATAGTTAACAAAGAATTCTAGATACTTCTGGAAGAAATCCACCACACCAAGCAGTGATGAACAATGGAATTGATACTGAAGGTGCTATCAGTATGTAGATAGCATCTTGTTCCATCTTTACTATGAAAACAGATGCTGTATCATGCCCGGTCAGGTACTAGCTATATATCTGACCTGTGCTGAAACCTGAAATGAAAACATCAATGCATTCAATCTGAACAAGGCTAAAGGGGTTTAATTTATTCTGTTATCTTATTCAGAAATGCTTAACAATAGTATCTTTATTATATAGTGGAAACAAGGTAATTCATCTTAGAAAATATGTTTTCTATGATATAGCTGCCAGGTGTTATGTCAAAATTTCTCTATATCTTACTTTTGGTGATATAGCTTTATAGTGAAAAGTGCTGATACCAGCAAATTCAATGAAGCTAGAATGAATTATAGATAGTCCTTGACTTCCAACCATTAATTCAGCGATCATTTGAAATTACACCAGTTTTGAAAGATGGGATTTTGGACCTGTGCCTGAAGGCACAACCATTGCAGCAACCCTATTTTCTTTCCATTTATGCCCTTTTAGCCCTCTGATTCCCTGCTTTTGATTGCTTTTCCCGTTTCCTTTTTTTTTTGCACAGCGTATACCCATCTCCATCCAGGATCTCTGTGCAAACAGGTGTTTGGGCATGCTGTGGCTTAAAGCTATTATTTCCTTTCCTTTCTTCTTTTTCAAAGTATGAAGCCTGCAAAGTGCAGCCCCTGTACCCTCTTTTCCTCTCTCCTATCCCTCTCTTCTTCCCTTAGCTCTCTCCTCTATTTCCCATTCTTCATCTCATTTACTTGATGTATTTCAGCTTCTGAGCAAGCTCCATTTTATGTTGATGGTATTTATAATTCCTTTTCAATATACATACTTAATTTTAACATGTATTCTCCCCTTTTTTAAAAAAAATAGAACAAAAAAGTATGTGTATGTATGTCTGTGTGTGTGTGTGTGTGTGTATGTATATGTATATGTATATGTATATGCATATTCGTTGTACTTTTAAAACCCTCCCCACCCCAGCCTAATTTTGGCTGAGATGTACACCTGATTACAATTCCCAGCTATTCTCCTCATTATCTTTATATCCTTACATGTCCCCAGTTAGTGATTCTGACTTTAAATCTCAATAGTTTCCCATTGTAGGTGTATTTCATGTTCCCTCTCAATCTTAGATTAGATTACCCTTAATTGTCTAAATGGCAATCCTCGCTGTTCAATATTCATTACAATTCTCTTAATCTATTATATAGAATAACAGCGGTAAACATCTCACTTTATTGATCATCTTAAAAATTCTATATATGTCCATGTTTATATTTTAACCCTTGCTTAGTTGTCCTTCTATTGTCATATTCAGTCAATTCACAACTCAGTTTAATTATCATATATGAAAGTGAATCACAGACCTCTGCTTTACAACCTCCTTGCAGGGGCAACTCTGTAGGCTGCCCTGAGCCTTGCTGAATGATGTAATCTTCCCAGGTGACATGTGGTGAGATGGGTAGAGGGCTAATCCTATCATGTCCTGAGGGCCATGCCTTAATCCCATCACCCTGGAGCTGAAGGGGTGGGGGGCAGGGAGCTGCAGGAAGCTGCTTTGTCTTTAAAAACATGTTTCTCCTTTTCTCATCCAGAGAAATATAATATTCTGCCGTTTTAATATTTCCTAGAATATTTCATTTTTCTAAGAGAGGGGTGAGTACTAACTTCCTACACCAGGAAAGAGGGAGTGAGAGTAAAGGAAGGCCCCAGGAAGGAAATTTATGCGACTTGGAACCTTCCCATTGACTTTGCTTGTGGGAAAGCCATCAGGGAAGGTTGCAGATTGGCGATTGCATGACAGCAGAACATTGCAGCCTGTCATAAATATGAACTGGTTGCCAAGCATCCATCCAAATTTTGTTCACCTGATCACAAAGGCACTTTGAGGAACGGCCATAAGTTCTTTCATTCAACACCTGTCGTTGACAGCAAAAGTCATTGAATGAATGGTTGTAACTCAAAGACTATCTGTACAACTATCATTCCAATACAGTTGATTGGAATCAGATTATTGTTCACTTTCAGTCTCTCAGTAAAACGTATAAGTCCATTTGAATGGATTTTTATCTAGGGTCAATTTTTATGAGAAGATTATAGTATTTTATGTGCTACTAATATCTAGAAAATTACATTTCCTATTAATTTTCTGGTATTGCATTACTCATTTATAATTGTTAATTCCAAAATATTTACATATAAAATCAGTTAGTGTTGTATAATGTGATTAAAATTGTTCTATTTGGTTCCTGTGTTTTAGAAAGCAAACTCTAAACCAGCCAACCTTACTGTAGGAAGGAACTGCAAGGTACCTTTGACTCAAGTAGTTCCAAAGAAAGGTATTTCAAACTTTAGGCATGTAATATAAATAATAGCCACAAGGTGGAGCTTAAAGTCAACCATCTGAAAACTGATATTTTCTTTAAATATTACATACTTCTGCAGATGATGAGCATGTTGGAGTAGGAAACAAAAAAAATATTGGACAACAGTGGAAAACATCAGAAAAACCTGGTTCAACATTGAAATCAAATGACGCCAAGAGAATCATACCCATTTTCAAAGGAAAGTTATTGCAAGGGGATAGGCAGTTCACTAAAAGAATCCATGAAAAGAAAAGAAAAAATGTTTCAAAAGATTTACCAAAACTAGTAACAGATCATGCAATTTCTAAATCAAATATATTCAGTCCAAATGCAGATCAGATTAACAAATCACTACCTGATACATCATTTCAAAATGTTATAAATAAAAGTGTTTCTCAGAAGGTGAGAAAAAATATTAGAGCTAACAAATTTCTATTAAAAGAAGAAAATAAAGATGTTGGGTATCCATTAAACTTCCCTTTACTTAATGGAACAGTTTTAACGAAACATTCCAGTAAAACCAAAGCTACAAAGCTACATTTTTCTTTGATATCTGCTGATAACCAATCAAAGCATCACACAGCAAGCATATGTCAGCTTTCAAATAAACCTGCACATCTCAGTGCTGGTCAAAATATTCTGTCGAAGAAAACTAATGAAATAGCTGAAGGAGCTTTTAGAGTATTTCAGAATCGGATACAAAATCCAATGAAGGAAACAAAAACAAATGCTTACAGATTAACCAGTTCAGGATTTGAAGGACTGACAATATCCAATAAATCCAAAAGAAAAAGAGATTGGAAGGAATCAGTGTACTATCAAGACATCACTGAGACCTCAAGCCCTCATCTGCAGGTATAGTAAATAACATAGATGTCCATAACATGGCAGCCCAAGAACGTTTCATTATACCGATTTATGCAATTAGTAATAAAAAGCAAGCATGTGACTGCTGAGTTCCATGTATATACTTGTAGTATGTTACTCCTCATGCTTAACCAGAAATTTGTAATGACACTATTGCTTTTTCATATGAAACTGTGGTCTATATGTATCAAGTCAATTAATTAAATCAGATCGGAGGTATACAGAGAGTGGGCATGGTGGCCTAATGGTGAAGACTCTCACCTTCCACTCGGAAGGTTGAAAGTTCAATCCTAGATAGCAGCAGATGTTTCTCTCCTCGAATGCAAAGAAATATGGGAACTCCACATGGCATCAGGAAGGGCATCCGGCCAGTAAGCACTCAGCTCCATCCAGTCACCCTGACTCTATCCCGAATTAAAGGATTACAGGGTCATAAAAAGGGAGTATTTGAGCTATACAGAAAAGTTATGTATTGATTTTTCTTTAAACATTGGTCTGAACCAGATATTGATAATGCATTGGCAATGAGCACCAGGATAGAAAACCACCTGGCCTGTATATCATGAGAATCTCTGAGCTTCTTAAATTAAAAGTATTGATTTGTGCAATAGCATAATATAAAATTAACTCTTTGTTACCTTTCATGAAGTTCCTTTTATAGGTTATAAATGAATAAATCTTAGAAACTGACTTTAATAAGAATAGTTAATAGGAACTATATGACATTAGATGGCAGAAAATATTAGTTGTTATAACCTTTGAAATTTGTATGTTTCTCACAAAAGCTAATTTAAAATATTATAACCTGCTGTACACTTCTTTTTAATTTTAGGATACATTTATTTCCATTATCAATCTTTCAAAGAAAAAAGTTCAAAGCAACTTAAAACCTTTCAATATTAAGAATCAATTTCAGGCCTAGGAACTAACTTGGAAAAATTATCAACTTTTCCAAATTTTTCTCTGAATTTCTATTGTCTTATATAGAGACAAACAGAAACAGAGAAAGTGGATGTTAGGAATATATTTTGTTTGTTTGAAAATCAACATTATATGAATTGATACTGATATGAATATACAATCTAATGGCTGATATCCTAAAAACTGGTTGTAGAATTAAATATTTTAAGCTAGGAATGTAAAACTGGTACCAGGTAGATATTTCAGTCTGATCACCATCAACCAGGATGATAAACAGCTGGAGGATTGCTCAAAACATTTGTAGTCCATCCCAGTTGTATAATCTGGGGGATGGCAAATAGCTCTCTGGATTTCTATTGCTGATCCTAAGGAAACTATTTCATGTTGCATAAGAATGAATGACCACAATAATTCATTTAACTATTTAATGATTGTTATACATACTTCTGAATTTCAGTGTAAACGTCAAATATATTTAAAAGCACATATAACCATTTTAGATTGATATTGTCAAGTCATTGATATTCCAAATTTTGTTTATAAAACTATTTGGAAAATAATATTAGCATGCTGTTTCATACTGAATTGAAGTCTGCATTTTTTAAAAAGCTATAGAAATGTAAGATTAATAATAAAGACCCAGAAAGAGAGAGCGATAAAGCAATTGCATTCATCAAGAAAGCTGTAAACAAGATAAAGTGATAGTTAACTGTCACTTTACTTCATCTGGCACAGGAAGCATAATTATATAAGACATGCCCCACATCACAGTTACTACCCACAATCTCACAGTTCAGTGAAAGGGAGACATCTCATTTTGGAAATTCAGCTTTCTCCTTACCCAGGGACCACCTATGCATTAAATTTCAAATTGCTTTCCTGCCCCATTATTCAAATTAGGTAGTGCTCAATGGTCCCTTCAAATTAGAGAGTATGGAGTAGCAGAGTTAAGTCTTATTGGTATATTGATGGCGTCCCATTCTAGAATTATGAGTGACCATGCCTGGAAGTTCCATATAAATGCTAATATGACAGACAAGAATCCTGTGGAATAGTATTAATTACTGGCCTAGATATTGAATCATTGTCGCCACCCCACCACCACCACCTTTTTATCAAGTCCCAACAAGAAAGACCAGGGCCACTGCAAAATAATTACCCCAAAGCCCAACACAACCAGACAGCTCAAGTTATCATGTTTGACCATAGCAAAAGATGCCAACATGTCCAATAGAACTAGCAGAATTACATTCCTTCTATATAGGTCATCTTTTGAGATAAACAAAGAAGACTCAGCCTCATACCCTGAGAGAAAGCCTGAAAGAAGCAGGTCCAGAAAATAATTTTGCAAAAATAAGTCTCAAAATCTTTTACTAAGCTATTTTCCCAAGAAAAGCAACCACATCATTTTGGATCAACTGGTCCAGGATGAATATTATTATGCATAGCAATGAATGAAATAAAATAGATTAAAACAAGACTAATTGAAAAATAGCTGTACAGCTTTTATAAATATTTGTTCACAAATATTCATATTCGCATTCCCTGTTCCATATTCTGATTTTGTGTTTTTTTTATTTATATCCAAAAAGGCGAGGTTATACACAAGCAACAAAAAGGATTTTAAAAAAAACATAAGTTTTTAAATATAGCTTTAAGCCTTGAGCACAGAAAATAATGTTGATCAGACTTTCCATTACACGAATAAAGAGCCAGCTCAAAAGAAGAATATCAATCTAGTTTTGTAAATCTGGGTCAGCACAGTCTTTTCTTTTTTATCTTTCCACTCTTCTTTTTTGCTCAATAAATTCAGAGATTTAAATAGGGATAAAATCCTTTTTTTTTGGTTTATAATTCATCATGACATCCACATCTTTAAATCATATTACTCTTCCCAAAACTATTTTGGCATACATAAATCAAATGGGATGACAGTAGATCAGGTTCATATCACATAAGCAAATGTGCCTCACTATTTTAAACTTTTTTTGACGTGTCCATTGAATATTATAAAATATTTTTGAATAAATCTTATCTTAAGGTAACAAGAAATGTAACAAGAAATATTCTTTAAGATTATTAAGTATTGATTTGTTAGTATAATATAAGGATCCCCCTACATAAATTTGAAAAAACCCAAAACTCATTTCACTGCTTTTTCAGTTTTTATTTTAGCTACATGGTTATTGATAGTAAAACATTTAGTTTTATGCCTAAGATGTACTGGATACTTTGATTACTTTTTAAATCATAGCTTTTGATAGACAAATGAATGATAACAAGCCAACCATTATTGGAAAATCATATATATATATATATGTGTGTGTGTGTGTGCGTGCGTGCGTGCATGCATGCATGCATGCATGCATTTAACATAAATTAGTAGTAGACAGAGATGACATTTGTTATAGCAATTTTGGTTTCNATTTTAATGCACAACAGGCTGTATCTTAACAGAGCACACACCCCAGGAAGTTTTAGGGGTGTCTTATCCCCACAGTATTTGTTTCCAGAAGGTAAGTCATCTGTTACCAATTTCATTGAAATTGCTACCATGTTTTCCCCAAAATAAGGCAGGGCCTTATTTTCTTTTTACCCACAAAATATGGCTTAGGCCTTATTATGAGGGGAGGGTTTATTGTTTTGGGGTTGCCAAGCGGCTGTTCTTTTCCAAGCAGGCTCCCAAAGAGCCGGGCACAGCCTCATGGGCCTCAATGCTTTTTCGGCGGCTTCCAAACCGAGTCTTCCAGCAGTGGCCACTCTGGGCATACACTCTGTAGTTGTACGCTCTGCCAACATCTGGCTCACAACCATAGAGTGTACACCCAGAGCAGCCACTGCTGGAAGACTCGGATTGGAAGCCACTGAAAAAGCCATGCTGGGATGGCGGTGGCGGCGGCAGCAGAGGTGCCCTGGCTCTGCAGGGAGAGCTGGGCCAGGGCATCGTGAGGCTGGGAGGCGCGCAAGCAGGAGAGGAACAGCTGCTCGTGCAACCCCCCTCTCCAGCTGTGCAGAGTGCCTTTCACTGGCATTTTGAAGACACCAAGCTGCGAGAGCCGGGCGGTGGTGAACAGGCGCTCACACGGCTTGGCGATACCCCTAGGTCAGTGAATGGCACTGTGCCCGACTGGAAAGGGAGTTTGCCGGGTAGCTGCTCGTGAGCGTGGTCGCTTCATGGCTGTTGTGTTGCGCTGCTGTGACAGCGCAACCCATGAGGCTGTCTTTGGGAGCCCACTTGCAAGAGAGCAGCCGCCCAGCAACCCTACTCTTCAGCTGGGCACAGCGCTGCTCAACCTAGCGGTATCTCGATGCCAAGCAATGTGATCACCTTTGTCTCCCCCCTGGTTCCCGCCGCTTGGCACCTTCGGAATACTGCTAGGTTGGTGAGCGGTGCTCTGCCTGGCTGGAGGTGGGGGGTTGAACAAGGGCCTTATTTACAGGGAGGGCTTATATTTTTGGCCACCAGAAAAATATGGCATGGCCTTATTATCAGGACATGTCGTATTTTTGGGGAAACACGGTAGAAGCGTTCCANTATGCCTAAGATGTACTGGATACTTTGATTACTTTTTAAATCATAGCTTTTGATAGACAAATGAATGATAACAAGCCAACCATTATTGGAAAATCATATATATATATATATGTGTGTGTGTGTGTGCGTGCGTGCGTGCATGCATGCATGCATGCATGCATTTAACATAAATTAGTAGTAGACAGAGATGACATTTGTTATAGCAATTTTGGTTTCTTTAATTTCTTAAATATAATTTACTTTAATGCTTAATATATTGTATTGACAGGAAAAAGAACGAAGCTATGCAAAACCTAAGAAATCAAGAACCAGTAAATCATCAAAGTAGAAAAAAGATGCAAAAGAGAAAATAAACAGCAGGTTTGTGAAAACTATGCCATGAAAGGGTGGTGGTGGTGTTTTCATTTAAGACTTGAAGTATTTAATTCATATTGTGCTTTTCCTGTTTCATGATTGAATAATTTATGATTAGAAAATGGCCAAGTTCCAATTTCTTTCCCACAGCAGTCAAGAAACCATATACATTCAAACAGACAAATAAGTCTCCAATTCGTGCATAGAATCCAACTCATACAACATAGTTATTCTATGTGTAAATTAAAATTACTGATTAAATTTCTAAGCCGCCAATAACGGATATTCTCTGAGCAAATACGGTAATACACATGCTTATGAAATATTTGCATTGAAAATAATGGAAACAGTAAGGCAATAACCTCCACTATAGTTCTTATGTTCTGAATGTATATTTAGTATGACCAAACAGACTGCTATTATTCATATGCAATGCTAACTGTAGTTTAGTTCTACATCCCAGCAGAAAGAAAACCATGAAGTGCTTGGTGCAGATATACAATTTTAATTCTCTGCATTAAGAGGAAGAATGAAATAGGATTCTGGTTTATTTTATTCAAATCCTGGCTTATCATTCAATTTAAACAAGGAATTATAATTATAATAAAATTGTAAACATATTGGTCATCTGCCAACTCCAATCTAAGGCAGCAATGACAGGAAAAGGTGAAGGACTGCAGGTGCAACAAGAGTTTTCCACTTTCACTCTAAAGCATATATTAAATTGTCCGCACATGTCATGAATTGTGGTTTATTTACTATTTCCTAATGGGATGAACAAAAACCTCCAATATTTGTTCACTCAACAAAAGTGATTTGAAATAGTGTTTTTGTTCTTGCTGTTGTTGAAAAGATAATTTTTTGTTAAAAGCATGAATTTAATTCTTAATACTTCCTTTAAAAGTTATTATTCAAACTGTTTTTATTAATTTTTGAAGATTTTGTTTCATATTTCCTCTGTCCTGTAAAGAAACCATACTTCTCTTATATAGACAAAACAATATATTTATGTGATTATAAATCAAAACACACACTGCTCTTCAAAAGTTGTTACATAATTATTGTAGTTGATTTGTTCCTCTGAAAAGTAATAAAAGAACATTCTTGTGTACTTTCCTTCCTTTCTGTATCAATATACAATTCCTAATTTTGATTGGTATATATGATCATAAATGTGCAGTGTGCATCTATAATATATCAAGAGGTTATTCAAAGAAGTTATACATATGTAATAGTTATAAAAATGATAACTATATAGAGGGGAACCTAATTTAATTACCAGTTTTTTTTAGTGTATTCAAACTTAGGACGGTGCTGAATGGTGACCACGTGATGTCCTCACTTTATGAGGTCTGGGATTTCTTAACAACAACAACCTGGAAGTGCTGGAACTGCTGTTGCTAAATGACTTTATGACTGTATCACTTAGCAACAGAAATTCCAGTTCCAATTGCCTTCATTAACTGAGGACTATCTGTAGTGTCCATTGTTAAAAGTCATATTTCACAATACAAAGCAAGTACAGTTTTGCATATTAAGATCCATTTTTTACTAAATAGACTAAGGTAAAATACAGCTTTAAAATAGCAATAGTGGCCTAAATTCAAATCCACCCTATTTTGGCATGTACTTATATTCCTTGGCACGGAGATAGACAAGATGCCCACTTTGAATGTGTTGAAACAAAATTTTGAAGAGTTTCTGCAAGAAATGCATTTATAATGCAGCAAAGACTAAGGTACTCTAAAATTATACTAAATACCATATTGTATTGATATACAGCTTAGCTTGTGTTGATTGGCTTAAATAATATGCATCTTGATTCTTTGGTGTATGAATCAAAAAATTGTAATCATGCTTTATTGTAAATTATATCTGAATTCTGATTAGCAGAAGTTGTTTAATTTAAAGGCTTTATAATAGGTAAAGTGAGAATAATTTGTCAGAATATTCTGCATGCATATATAATCTTATACATGTGTACTTTGAACAAGCATTACTGAGTTGAAAAGGATTTATATTCCAAGATAAGTTTACAGATTTTTGACTTTTACCATTATACAGAACATGGTGTTTGGACAAGCTGAGTTATAGTTCTTCCTAAACATGTTAGTTTTCCCTAAAGGTAGATTTTAATACAAAGTAATATCTGCACATATAATTGTATGGTACCTTATATTAAAAATTGAGGTAACATCATGGTACTGTATTGGGGATGTTGACCTATGTCTGTTTTCCTCCATCCTAGCATTTTGTTGAAGCATTAGATCTGCAACTTCCAGAATTCCCGCTCAGCATGTCAATTAGCTAGCTAGCTAATTCATTTCTTTATTCTCATTTATATCCTGTCTTTTAGCTCACTCTTTTCCTGATTCCTCCCCACCTCCTCTCTCTCTCTGGGGATGCATGTGTATATGCACTACAGCAGATTTACTGTATTACATACATGTTTATAGCAGATCTCAAAATTGTATACTGTATATATTGATACTGTATATGTATAGATTTAATTTGTGGATTGCACAATTTACAAAATCTTAAATAATACACTAAGATGTGAATGAATTGTAGTGAAATCGTAAGACAGCAAAAGACAAAACAGTGATAATGTCAAAAAAAGGCAGTGTCAGTGATAATAGAAACATTTTGTCATGAGTCCTATGGGAATAAGATATTATATAAATGTAGCAAATAAATACTGCCATTGTTAAATTAATATCTTCAATGTGATTAAAAGGATCCATAAAAGAATCTCAGCATTTTAGCATTGTTTAGTTCAAAGATAGCCATTCTAAAGTAAATTATGGATATTAAAGTATTATTATTATTATCATTATTATTATTAAAATCATTTAATTTATTCCAATCAGATATTGCAGATCATTTCAATGACATGATTTTAAGTCAGTTATATATTAAATGCTGACCTGAAGATGGTCATTCTTAACATAAATAGTTTCCGTAATAATAATAGTTGAATGAGCCAAAGGTATGTTCTTAACAACAGGTAATCTTAGCCTTCCGTACATCCTGTTCAGGTCACTCTGAATCTTCCTCTGGAAAAGAATAGTTCAGAAAAGATACAACTCTTAAGAGATTGTCTAAAAAGTATTTTGGCTACATGAATCGCCATATGGTTGGGCTCATCAAGCTGCTTTTGAACGTTCCTCTAAATTTTCTGATAGAGCTATTTTCTACAGAATTTCTTAAAAATTATGAATCCAAAAGAAATGAATTACAAGGACATTTTTCCTGCCATATGCTGATCTCTTGTCATAGAAATTTAAAAGCATACAGTGATTCCAGAGGTCATCCTGATTCTTCATGTTTTAAGCAGATGAATAGAAATCATAATAGTTTAATATCACTGCCCAACAAATATCCTGCATTGTATTTGTAACATTTTTAAAACATGCACAAGGAGTTGAAAAGCTGACTTACCGTATATACTCGAGTATAGGCCGACCCGAATATAAGCCGAGGCACCTAATTTTACCACAAAAAACTGGAAAAGTTATTGACTCAAGTAT